ACTGTAGTTTACTACTAATGGGGGGATAGGGGCACTTTGGCCTTTTCACCTTGGATGCTAAAGGACTTTGACTGCTTTGCATAGATTTCAAATTTCACCAAGAGACAGGGTCTCTTTAAGAGTTGTCACTTTGCGCCAGGGCTAGGGTTGCCACCTGTCCAGGATTCACCCGGACAGTCCGGGTTTTGAATGCTGTGTCCGGGTTTCATGGCAGCTGAAACCCGGACACATGATATCAGGCAGACAGGGCAACCAAAATTAAGATAGGGGCTACTGGCCCCCCACTAAAAATAGTCTCGACTGTGATATATATTTACACATAAATGGGTGACGCTATGTACATATGAATAAGCCATGACTCATATTCCCCAAAACATTTCTGTGCGTCGCTAGAGTGTTCGGGTTTTGCTGGAAGAAAAGGTGGCAACCCTAGCCAGGGCGGGGAGAGTAGTGCTTAGGCAGAAGAGGCAGTTGCCTTGGACTTTCAGCAAGAAGGGGATACTGTGGAAGTAGTTCACAGCTCATGGGGAGGGGAGGGCACTTTGGCCTTTTTTGCCCTAAGTCCTAAAGCACCTTGTCCCGGCCCTGCTCAAATTCCAGGTTGATGACAGGGTCTCTTTTGATGTTCTTACCCTATACCAGGGCCGGCCCAAGGGGGGTTGGGAGAAGGGGCGGTCACCTTGGGTGCTTCAGCAGGAGTTGGGTGTAAAATTGTCAGGAAGTAGTTCATATCTCATGGGGGAGAGGGGGGCACTTTGGCCTTTTTTGCCCTGAGTGCTTAAGCACCTTGTCCCGGCCCTGCTCAAATTCCAGGTTGATGACAGGGTCTCTTTTGATGTTCTTACCCTATACCAGGGCCGGCCCAAGGGGTAGGAAAAAGGGGCGGTCGCTTCAGGTGCTTCAGCAGGAGTTGGGTGTAAAATTGTCAGGAAGTAGTTCATATCTCATGGGGGAGGGGGGCACTTTGGCCTCTTTTGCCCTAAGTCCTAAAGCACCTTGTCCCGGCCCTGCTTAAATTCCAGGTTGATGACAGGGTCTCTTTTGATGTTCTTACCCTACACCAAGGCTGGGCCGAGGGGGTAGGAGAAGGGGCGGTCGCTTCGGGTGCTTCAGCAGGAGTTGGGTGTAAAATTGTCAGGAAGTAGTTCATATCTCATGGGGGAGGGGGGCACTTTGGCCTCTTTTGCCCTAAGTCCTAAAGCACCTTGTCCCGGCCCTGCTTAAATTCCAGGTTGATGACAGGGTCTCTTTTGATGTTCTTACCCTATACCAGGGCCGGCCCAGGGGGGGATGGGAGAAGGGGCGGTCGCTTCAGGTGCTTCAGCAGGAGTTGGGTGTAAAATTGTCAGGAAGTAGTTCATATCTCATGGGGGGAGGGGAGGGCACTTTGGCCTTTTTTGCCCTGAGTGCTCAAGCACCTTGTCCCGGCCCTGCACAAATCTGGTCCCACGTATGATGTTTTTCCTCCGTCTCGGCGTGTTTGTGTGTTTAATGACGCAGTGAATGCCATGTGCTGGGTCGGGGCCCCGCAGCCCGAGCCGCGAAGGAACAAATTCCATCATTTCAGGCTGTTCTCACAATGCCCTTTAAGTCTCGCCCTCCATAGCGAGCGGCGGAGTCCCCGGGACGTGCGGCGCATCCAGGGAGCCGGGCCTTCTCTTCGGAGGGAAGACGAGTAATCGCCGCGATTGCTCCTCTGTGACCTTTCACACCCTGACTGGAGCTCCGTCTATGACCCCCCCACCCCAGACAATGCACCTTTCACCATTCCGCCTGGCAGTCTGCAGAGCCAGACGCAGCCAAACATGTCCAGCCCTAACACCGGCCTGCCTGTGCCTGCCTGGGGCCAACTGGCACATCGCACGGGGCCAATGCTGGGTACCGGCACGGCTGCCAACTATCCGCTATTAGCAGGGATGTCATCCCTCTCCGAAAAATATTATGACACTAATGAAACACTTCATCTCTGCGGGGATCCCACTCAGGAGGCCCGGATTGTATTACAGGAGATCGAGCAGGCACCCGCAACAGTAGTTCTCATTTAAAGAGGACCTGTCACAAACAGACACATCCACTGTTTTATATACTGGCAGAGTAAATGGCTTTTTATTTATTTGCAACGCGCCTCTGAACTTGCTGGCCAAGCAGTCAGTTCCCTAGCACAGCCGCCTCCCTCCCTGCAAGTCATAGTTCTCTCCCCTTCTGTAAATGTCTGTGCTGGCACAGCTCCTCCACCCCTCTCCTCATCTCCCTTTCCTCAATTACTGTCTGTGCTGGCACAGCTCCGTTTCCCCTCTCCCCATCTCCCTTTCCTCTTATGTAAATGTAAAATTATTGGCTGCGCTGGTCCAGCTCCTTCACCCCCTCCCCTCCCGCTACTCTTCTGTAGATGCCTAATTGCTGTCTGTGCTGCCACCGCTCCTCCACCCCTCTCCTCATCTCCCTTTCCTCTTATGTAAATCTCTAATTACTGTCTTTGCTGGCCCAGCTCCTCTAGCCTTCCCTCTCCTTTTCTATAAATAGCTCTCTATACCGGCCCAGCTCCTCCGCCCCTCCCCTCCCTCTCTTCTTCTGTAAATGCCTAATTACTGCTTTTGCTGGCCCAACTCTTCCACCCCTCCCCTGACCTTCCTCTCCTCTGCTGTATATGTCTAAGTGCTGTCTGTGCTGGCACAGCTCCTCCACCCCTCACATCCCTCTACTCTTCTCTGTACGTTTAATTCCTGTCTGTGTTGCCCAGCTCTTCCGGCCCTCCCCTTACCGCCCTCTCTTCTTCTGCAAACATCTAATTACTGTCTTTGCTGGTCCAGCTCCTCCGCCCCTCCCCTCATCTCACTTTCATCGTAGGTAAATGTCTAATTACTGTCTGTGCTGGCCCTACTCCTCCAACCCCTCACCTCCCTCTACTCTTCTGTAAGGGCCCGTTCACACTAGATGCAGTGCGTTCCGGCCCGATTCTGGCCAAGAACGCACTGCCTCGCATTGTGGCCGGCTCACTTTATTGTGGGGCAGGAGGGGGCAGCCGCAAGCAATCGGCTGCACGGGATCGCAAGGCACATTATGCTTGCGGTCCGGTGCGATCAAAATGCTGCAAGCCTGCTACGGCTCCATTAATTTCAATGGCCCGCCACGCCCCCTCCTGCCCCACAATAAAGTGAGCCGGCCACAATGCGAGGCAGTGCGTTCTTGGCCAGAATCGGGCCGGAACGCACTGCATCTAGTGTGAACGAGAGTTGCAGACATACAATACATTCAATGCTCAGCTTGCTATAATGAATGGTCCGGTGACAACAACCCGGCTGAGCTCTGAGTGGTGTGAGGGGTCAAGTTCCTCCAAAGATTAGATGATCCTCAGGTCCCCCATGTTGTTAAAACCATCACTGGGTGAACCCCGGGCTGGTCTGCGGGCCCATCGGCTGTTCTGTGGACGGCTCTACAGCTCCCCCTTGAGGGCGCCCTGGAACTGTTGTGCGATTGTCCATAGATCTCTGCGGTGAGGGACTCGTTCCCAGCCTGGACGTGAACCCCCTTCAGAACGTACTGGAGGCACCTAAGAGTGTTTTTTTGTCCTTTAAAAAGGCCGCTGTCCCCAAGGGAAAGGGGAGGGGGGGTGGCAGCTCTATGGAAATCATTGAACGTTCAGCATAAAATCATATTTGCGCTTGTTAATCTTATTTACATCTGAGAGTTTTTGGCTTGTACGGGGTCGGGGAGGCCTCACAAATTATACACGGTGAAGCGGCCTGGTATACAATGAGTCCTTGTGCTGCGCACTTTGCTGCCGTGAGGTTTAATGCAGATTCCCAGCAAGAAGTGGCGGCTTGTGTGTTCCTCCGAGAGGCTCGGGGTGGAGGTGACTGTGTGTTGGGTAACACAGCGCACGCCTGTCCTTCCCCTGGCCCTTCTGTCCCCATCCTGGCCCCTAAAGTCTCCTCCATGACTGGCCCACCTTTATGTCTGGTGAAAATAAATAGACCGTGTAACCAGCAATAGTGGTTATGTTGCTTTTTATTCAGGGGTGATTCGGCGGTCATTCGTTGCTTTTAGGTAGGCCCCTATGGGCTCCTAATTTTTTTTTGGGTTCGCCCCTAACATTATTTTGATGTTCCTGTTCTTCAAGGAGAAATCCAGGACTTGGCATATTTATAACACGCCCACAGCTCCTAACTGTCCCTCATGTGAAACCAAATTCTTCAGTCCCCCTTTCCTCAGTTGCCCCTCTTTTTGGATTGATGGAACTCCAGGAATGACCTTTCCCTGATACTTAACCCTAGTCCAGCTTGGCTCCGCTCTTTTTGGGTTGATGGAACTCCAGGAATGACCTTTCCTGGATACTTACATTGGTCCAGCTTGGCTCCATGTAAGCATCCATATCTGATCCCCGTAGGGAAATCCCGATCTGACCGTGATTTCTGTTGTAAAGTTTGCTCCTTGGTGCCCCACAGGAGTCGCCCTTACGTGCACGCTTATAGAATATCAGCAGTTGCCCCTCTTTTTTGGCTCTGATGGAACTCCAGGAATTACCTTTTTATGAATACTTACATTGGTCCAGCTAGGCTCCATGTAAGCATCCATATCTGATCCCCGGAGGGAAATCCCAATCTGACCTTGATGTCCGTTGTAAGGTTTGCTCATTGATGCCCCACCGGAGTCGCCCTTATGGAATATGTGCAGTTGCCCCTCTTTTTGGGCTCTGATGGAACTCCAAGAATGACCTTTTATGGATACATGCATTAAACTGAAGTCCAGGGAATGAAAGGGAATAGGACACTATAGGTAATAAAAAAGAGCAAAAATATACATCATAAAAAAGAAATGATACAGAGCAAGAGAGATGAACAACGGACCATGAATAGCTTGGGCAGTCACATGCTCAGTGGCTACCTAAGCGCAGACCAAGTGCATGCTGGGTAATGGGGTCAGGGCCAACTTCCCTCCAATACTTTGGTGTCTCCCTCTCGGTTTTTCAATGAGTTCTTCTTCTTCTTCTTCTCCGGCAGGGTTCGAATTTCCAGTCTTCTCGGAGAGAGAAATATGGAAGCGTCTTCAAGACTCACTTGCTGGGCCGCCCCCTGATTAGGGTGACAGGGGCTGAAAACGTCCGGAAGATCCTCATGGGGGAACACCACCTGGTCAGCGCCGAGTGGCCCCGCAGCACCCGGATGTTACTGGGGCCCAACAGTCTCACCAACTCCATCGGAGACATCCACCGACACAAGAGGAAGGTAAGGAGTTGTTTTCCTGTTACCAGATTCATACCTGCATTGATATTTAGTTTACCTGAGTCCTGGAAAATCTCTATTTTGAATGATCTTTCCTCACCTTGTATGACAGAAAATGTAGATTTCAAAAATACACATTGAGGCTGGAGGTACCAAGCATGAAACATGTTCCATTGTGCATGGCTATGGAATGGCTCCTCACCCCCATCCTGCCAACCAACATCTAACTCAGTGCAGATTTATACATAGAATGTCTGCTTAGCATTATGTCCATTATAACCCTAACTCTCCTCTCCTGAAATACTCTGAGCTGCTGGAGGACTGATCCTTTCTCTATCTACAGTAACTCTCCTGAAATACTCTGCTGTGCTGGATGACTCTGCTCCTTCCTCTATCCAACACTACTCCCCTGAAATACTCTGCTGTGCTGGAGGACTCTGCTCCTTCCTCTATCCAACACTACTCCCCTGAAATACTCTGCAGTGCTGGAGGACTCTGCTCCTTCCTCTATCCAACACTACTCTCCTGAAATACTCTGCAGTGCTGGAGTACTCTGCTCCTTCCTCTATCCAACACTACTCTCCTGAAATACTCTGCAGTGCTGGAGTACTCTGCTCCTTCTGATATCTAACTCTCCTGAAATACTCTGAGCTGCTGGGGGTCTCTGCTCCTTCCTCTGTCCAGCTCTCCTGAAATACTCTGCTGTGCTGGATGACTCTGCTCCTTCCTCTATCCAACACTCCTCCCCTGAAATACTCTGCTCTGCTGGAGGACTCTGCTCCTTCCTCTATCCAACACTCCTCCCCTGAAATACTCTGCAGTGCTGGAGGACTCTGCTCCTTCCTCTATCCAACACTCCTCCCCTGAAATACTCTGCAGTGCTGGAGGACTCTGCTCCTTCCTCTATCCAACACTACTCCCCTGAAATACTCTGCAGTGCTGGAGGACTCTGCTCCTTCCTCTATCCAACACTACTCCCCTGAAATACTCTGCAGTGCTGGAGGACTCTGCTCCTTCCTCTATCCAACACTACTCCCCTGAAATACTCTGCAGTGCTGGAGGACTCTGCTCCTTCCTCTATCCAACACTACTCTCCTGAAATACTCTGCAGTGCTGGAGTACTCTGCTCCTTCTGATATCTAACTCTCCTGAAATACTCTGAGCTGCTGGGGGTCTCTGCTCCTTCCTCTGTCCAGCTCTCCTGAAATACTCTGCAGTGCTGGAGGACTCTGCTCCTTCCTCTATCCAACACTCCTCCCCTGAAATACTCTGCTCTGCTGGAGGACTCTGCTCCTTCCTCTATCCAACACTCCTCCCCTGAAATACTCTGCAGTGCTGGAGGACTCTGCTCCTTCCTCTATCCAACACTCCTCCCCTGAAATACTCTGCAGTGCTGGAGGACTCTGCTCCTTCCTCTATCCAACACTACTCCCCTGAAATACTCTGCAGTGCTGGAGGACTCTGCTCCTTCCTCTATCCAACACTACTCCCCTGAAATACTCTGCAGTGCTGGAGGACTCTGCTCCTTCCTCTATCCAACACTACTCTCCTGAAATACTCTGCAGTGCTGGAGGACTCTGCTCCTTCCTCTATCCAACACTACTCTCCTGAAATACTCTGCAGTGCTGGAGTACTCTGCTCCTTCTGATATCTAACTCTCCTGAAATACTCTGAGCTGCTGGGGGTCTCTGCTCCTTCCTCTGTCCAGCTCTCCTGAAATACTCTGCTGTGCTGGAGGACTCTGCTCCTTCTGATATCTAACTCTCCTGAAATACTCTGAGCTACTGGGGGGTCTCTGCTCCTTCCTCTCTCCAACTCTCCTGAAATACCCTGAGCTACTGGAGAACTCTGATACTTCCTCTATCCTATATTCCTTTCTTCCTCCTCCTGAAATTCTCTGAGCTGCTGGAGGCCTCTGCTCCTTCCGATATCTAACTCTCCCGAAATACTCTAAGCTGCTGGTATACTCTGCTCCTACTGATATCTAACTGTATTGAAACATTCTGAGTTGCTGGATGCCTTTGATCCTTCTGATATCTAACTTTACTGAAAACCTCTGAGCTCCTGGAGGACTCTGCTCCTTCTGATATCTAACTTTACTGAAAACCTCTGAGCTCCTGGAGGACTCTGCTCCTTCTGATATCTAACTTTACTGAAAACCTCTGAGCTCCTGGAGGACTCTGCTCCTGCTGATATCTAACTTTAATGAAAACCTCTGAGCTCCTGGAGGACTCTGCTCCTGCTGATATCTAACTTTAATGAAAACCTCTGAGCTCCTGGAGGACTCTGCTTCTTCCTCTGACATACTCTCTCTTAAAATACTATGAGCTGCTGGAGAACTCTGATACTTCCCCTATCTAACTTGCCTGAACTAATCTGAGCTGCTGGAGAACTCTGCTCCCTACTGTATCTATCTATGAGACTTTGGTCAAAAATGGTTAAAAGCAGAATTCCCCTTTAAGAGTTTTGCATGACAATAGGGTAGATGAGGAATTTGGGCTTTTGTCTTCTCTTGGCCGGGAAGTGGCGGTCCCAGAATGTGCTGACTCCATGTGATAGGGGCACAGTGTTCCTGGTGTTGTAGCATTGCTGGATAGAGAGATGGAAGGCGTATTGTTTTCACCCCGGCTTCAGCTGGCTGTGCTGCTCTGCCCTGGATACATGGGATACATGGGATACATGGGGTTGTTACATTGTAACAAAGGAAAATACAAACTATTGGGATGTAGAAAAGAAAAGGTCGTCACAGCTGCAGTGAAAACAAGAAGCTTATTGATCTAAAAATCTAGGTTTGATTTTCTCTTCCTTGCAGAGATAGTAACTGCGTTCAGTTTGTGGATCCCATCCCCCTGTTCGTGTAAATGGCTCATTGCCTTTCCCAAAAGCCTACATGAACATGCGGACATCCGGCACTGTCATTCCATTTCTGATTTGCTGCAGACCTGCCGAGAAGTCTGAAGTCTCAATGGATGCTGCGCAAGTTCAATGCGTTTGTCTTTGTCTGGTTTCGGTACACCCAAGTGAACTGAACCCAGGGCTGACTGTGTCCTAGCAACCAATGACGCTGCTGTGCGAGCCTGCTAGGATGCTGGTGGCTGAGCTGCACAGCGCTATTGGTTGCTAGGATGCAGGCAGGCCAGGGTCTTTGGTTGCTAGGATGCTGGTGGCTGAGCTGCACAGCGCTATTGGTTGCTAGGATGCAGGCAGGCCAGGGTCTTTGGTTGCTAGGATGCTGGTGGCTGAGCTGCACAGCGCTATTGGTTGCTAGGATGCAGGCAGGCACACCATAAGAACCAATGATGCTGTGGGGCCACCTGTGTCCTAGGAACCAATGATGCTGTTCAACCAGCACAGCGTATTTGGTGCTAGGATACTAGCATCTGGTTCTCTCAGCATCATTGGTTGCCAGGGCGCAGGCTGGTGCACAGTAACAGCAAGTGACATTGTGGGGCTGCCAGCCTCTTTGCAATCAATGATACTTTGTGGCCCACACAATGTCATTGGTTCATCTTTATTCAATGTAGGGTCGAGGGAACAGTATAGAAATAGCCATTACGTTTTCAGAGGCTCATACAACTACCCCCTTCCTCAGGCTTACTAAGGGAGAACTGTGATGGCCCGGAATTGGATACCGTTCTGTCCAGTGTGTGAGAATGCATAGAGTTCTTCAACAGCTGACTTGGTGGCAACCAGTGATCTCTTTCAAGGTGAACTTCCCCCAATACCTGTAACATCAAAAAAGCCACCCCAAAAAGAAAAACTGTTCTTACCTTACAAATTTAAAAGACATAAAGCCACCAGCATCCTAGCAACCAAAGACCCTGTGTGGCTAGCACAGCATTATTGGTTGCCCCGGGTTCGGTATACTTGGGTGTACTGAAACCAGGCAAAGCGAAACACATTGAACTTCCATGCGGGCCAATGTTGTATCAGGACGAACTCTTCTGACTGCCACTTCTCTTCCATGCTGCCATTTTCTGTAAGGGCATATGGTGATCCGGCTGCTCACTTACCCAAATTGGGCTCCATGATGACGTGCTACCAATTCTGCACATGCGCACCCAATGCTCTAATAGGGGGGTAATGTTACAAGAACTCAGAGTTGCCTCAAGACCTCTGGGATATATGACATTGATATCCCGAACGTCTGGGGGCCATACAGGCTAGGCGAGAGATAAGGAAGTAGGAGCACGGGTACATCAAGACCAAATCCGTTCCTTCCATGCCATCCAATCAGCTGCTGGCGGGGAGTTCCCTGACCCCAGCTTCACGTAAGCAAAGGGGCTGGTGCAGTGACATCATTGACCTTATATGGCTACATGCCTATATTTGGTAATGGACATTTACCCAATATGGTTATGTGGCCATATAAGAGAAAAGACGCCATATATGCCCGGCCCACACCTGATTGGGTGGTGGGCGTCTTGGATGAAAACCTCTGAGCTCCTGGAGGACTCTGCTCCTTCTGATATCTAACTTTACTGAAAACCTCTGAGCTCCTGGAGGACTCTGCTCCTGCTGATATCTAACTTTAATGAAAACCTCTGAGCTCCTGGAGGACTCTGCTCCTGCTGATATCTAACTTTAATGAAAACCTCTGAGCTCCTGGAGGACTCTGCTTCTTCCTCTGACATACTCTCTCTTAAAATACTATGAGCTGCTGGAGAACTCTGATACTTCCCCTATCTAACTTGCCTGAACTAATCTGAGCTGCTGGAGAACTCTGCTCCCTACTGTATCTATCTATGAGACTTTGGTCAAAAATGGTTAAAAGCAGAATTCCCCTTTAAGAGTTTTGCATGACAATAGGGTAGATGAGGAATTTGGGCTTTTGTCTTCTCTTGGCCGGGAAGTGGCGGTCCCAGAATGTGCTGACTCCATGTGATAGGGGCACAGTGTTCCTGGTGTTGTAGCATTGCTGGATAGAGAGATGGAAGGCGTATTGTTTTCACCCCGGCTTCAGCTGGCTGTGCTGCTCTGCCCTGGATACATGGGATACATGG